ATTTTGGCTTGGTGACCTTATAACAACTTCCAATCAAACAATTCTAATCTCTTTAATGCCAAGTAATCAGAATAAGAGTAACCATATTTTTTTTCAGAAAGCAGGGAAAAACTATGACAAGGAAACAGAATTTACTTGTAGTGAAGTCGTCTTGTCTGTGAATGATTTCTAATGGAATACAAACTTCAATTTTGATTGGGAACACATCCTCAAGTTTTTGCTGGAGAAACAAATCAGCTTAATTCATGAGAAACACAGTATAGCATATACCGGTATGTGCAATCACTTTCACTGAATTGTCAGTTCTAGATAAATGCTTTGTGGAGCTTGAATAGACAATGTAGTAAAGTTGAGATTGTAGAGTAAAAAGCAGAGGTAGATTATATTGTTACATACAAAGCATAACACCAAGACATGATGATACAAGCATACCTGTAATACAGTCTATATAACCAGAGGGGAAAGCATCACAACACATAGGTATAAAAAAACAATCAAACAATGTATAAGAAATAACAGAGGTAGTGTTTGACAAGTCAATGTGTTTGCTGCTAGGTATTTGAGGATATAGGAAGAAAATGTTGCCAGTTTTCTCCACTACACTTTACATAGGGGTGAAATAGCGATTTCAATTTTAGTAAACTGATGGTCATGTTTGTTACTGGGAGGAACAGGGTAAGGAGGAGGAAAAGAACATATTTGGCTGTGGGATTGAGGTGAAGGATAAGCATACCAGGCACCATAACTAAATTTAGGAATTATCAATCATTGTTGCATTGAGCATTTTCAGGTTCAATTATTGATCACTAGTAGACCTTACTGTGGCGTTGAGCTTATTTTGTGTCCCTAGACAGCAATATCATCATCTAATTGGCTGACAATACAGCTATGTTGCCTCCACATCTGATAATGATCTACTGGTTTCCTAGCAACACAGGTGTATTGTCAGCTAATTCACTCTTATCACAGAACAGTCATTGCTGACAACTTGGATTCCAAGCCTCATTTTCACATTGATGGAACATATCGGTGGTAAATTGTATGTATCATATCATTACAGGGGACCTGAAAATCAGTCTATGAACGTAAATTACACAGCAATGGTCATGGCATGATAAAAGAAAATTAACTGAAGAATGATTTTCAATGTCAAGAAAACAATATTTACAGTAGATAATTTTATTAAAAAGGTAGGGATTTGGATTTGTTGTGGCTTTTCTTTCAAAATTTTTGAGTTTGATAATTTATCATACATTTGCTATACCTGAGAAAACAACACGAAAAACTTTGCTTGGTGAATGTCAACAGGGGCTGACATTATGATTTGAGGAATTCACAGAGACAAAATTTGTATTTCATGTATACCACTTCTATATCCTATAACTATAAATGTGTGAAAGAACACAAGCTTGTCTATCTCCTTATCTGGTCAATATCTGCATTCCTACATAATATGTATGTCTTGCATCTGTATTTTATGCAAAAAACCACTTTGCTTTGCACACTTGTAATGACTGTATTCATATTTTCACTGAATCAAGTGCTACTATGCATAGGATATGCAATATGCATAACCCCTAAAGGTCAAACATCCTGGATATTTTTAGAGGGCAAGGGTGGGCAAACTCACTATACATGAACTGTGAAGAGTAAGGATCATCTGATTTTGCCAATAGCTCCAGTTCACCAGATATAATGCAGCATATGTATGCAGCCATTACAAATAGAAGTCTGTATTGTTAGGTGAAAGAAGAAGAGAGACACTTTACCTGGTTTAGGAGTTTTAGGCACTTTGCTGACCACACATGTTGGTACGCTACCTCCTATAACTTGGACACAAGAACACGGAAAGAAACCCACTTCAAATCCTTTCTTCCCCCTCCACCAGTTTGTATCCTCTATTGGCGGCATATCAATCACAGAAACAATATCTCCAACCTGTGTACAATATAATGTATAGTACATGATGAAACAATGCAGCCAAACATCATTATATCATATTTCATTTTGTATTTTTGTATATAACCCTGGAAGCTTCAGACAGCGTACAAGCAGTGTGTACAATGAAAAAAGTTTGTCAGTTTTTGACGTAACACTGTGGTGACACAATTTATGCATGTGATAACGGTCAGCAATGACATTTCAGATCTAAATATGGGCAATGCATGGGGTTCAGTTGTCAAAATTGGTTGAACAAAATGAGGACATTCTGAAAAAATACCAACAACTTGCTGATGTCTGGGAAGCATGTAATTCACTCACTGTAGAGATGCAATGTCAGAATATCTGGTTGATGATGTATGAACACAATACAGGGAAGATATCTTACAGAATTCCTTGGATATGCTGTTAGCGAAACCCAAATAAAAAAGTATGGTCATCAGACCACTTTTTGCACAAAACACAGGTCATTGAAAATGTTGATTTTAAACTATTTTACCATTATGGTTCCTATGGTAAAAAGTTTTCAACATTTCCCAAATTACACTTGGTTACATACAAAAATATACATCTATGATGAAAGCAATGGTATTACAGATTAGTTGCAAGATTGGTATTTATGATTTTCAAGAATTATTAGAATATTCTGATAATTACTATTGTGGTTATAGAATAATGCTTTAACGTGGCTTTAAAATGTCAACTTTGTATCTTTTTAAGCATTTTATCTCTAAACAAATATTTTGTACTGAGAAAAAATCTGAAAAATTTAAACATAGAACAATTTTTCGACCACCTGGATTTACCAGGTTGATTACCCATGATCTACATTTAGACGGCTGTCATTACTCCATCTTACCTGTAATGATAACTCGTCATTTGACTGAGCTACATATCTTTTAACTACATGTGCCGCTGCAACAGCTGGGATATTAATTGCAGATTCTTCGGACACGATTAAATGGTTGCCATGGTTATCGACCTATTAACAAAACATAGATGAATATCAAGTTTATTCACACACAAAAATATTTTAGAAAAGAAATTTAGAGAAAAATATTTCTGTAATAAATACATTTATTTGCAAGCATTATCGAATACAGGGAAATAGTTCCTTTAAATAAAGTGTGAATCTCTTGGTAGACTAATGTAACTAAGCCAAATTGTGAAAATCATCAAATTTTGTATCAGTGTGTATTTCACTAGTGACCATAAGTCACAGAGTCTTGCATGTCCTTAGTCTTTTCACC